TTTTAGCTATCACATGGAATACTGAAATTTGTTTTCTGGCAACTATATTCTAAACTCCCTGGCCTCCAGGTCTTGCCTGGGTTGCTTGTGGGTGAGGTCCTATGTCAGATCAAATACATTTGGGATATTTACTGCTGGGCCAAGTGGCATTTATTTATGTATTTATGATCTTTAATTTTAGCTGCAACTGTTGGGGTGATTGGAACTGACTTGGTTTGAAGCTGGCTATGTTAAAGCCCCACTTTACTGGGGACTCCCTCAGCACATGTCAAGATTGGGGGTCCAGATACTCAAGGTAGAAGGTGCTGATAGAGTTCCTAGAGCCCTTTGATTTACAACCCTGCCCTCCCTGACCATGTCACAACCCATCCGGTGCAATGGACCTGAGGAATATTCTAGGACTCAACTGGGAGAACATCCCTGCTTCTTCCCAGGAGGGACCCTTGTTGAACCATAGGCTGGCTAATATTGGGTGGCACCATCTGGACCATATTTCTAAAAAGTCCTTAAAGAATCTGGGCCCATTGTTCACTCCCTGTTCTCTAAAACTAAACTGAATCTGTCTCTGTCTTCCTTTGCCTGGCACTGTCTTGGTTTTAGCACTGAAAGGCCCTCATCCCAAAAAAATTAACCCATCAGTTCCAGGCAATCAGGGCCCTATCAACACAGCATCCAATATAACTCATGTATGTGTGTGTGTGTGTGTGTGTGTGTGTGTGAGAGAGAGAGAGAGAGAGAGAGACATATTTATGTATATGTCTATAATACATATATATCAAAAGAAAAACTACCCCAAAAAACAATAATAATGGGAGACTAATGTATTTCTTGCAATCTCTGAAAGATCACTTAGGGACAAAGAAAATTTACAGATAGATTTGAACAATATAATCCATGAACTTGTTTTAATCCACACAATCAAATACTGTTCTCCATGGGGAATAGACTTTTCTTTTCACCTCATTCCATTATCACTGGCAAACCCTCCATGTGTAGCTCATCTTGGAGGATAGGTCAGGATGAGTCTTTGCAGGCAGCTTGCCATTCCATGGGGGTTCTTTGAATCTGTGGGATTTTGCTGTTGTTGTTGAAGACTGAGGCAGTTTTGGGTATTACCGCCTTAAAATTCTTTCAGGCTAAAACTATGGTAGTCAAGGTAGGGGTCAAATGTTGGGCTGCACTTTCTCTTCTAGAGATTCAAAATTCTATTCTGAGAATCTTGTGTGTGTCCTTGTACACAGTTCAAAATGCATAAACTACATAGAAATCCTTTTTGAAGAAAAAAATTTTCAAGGGCCCAGAGTTGACCTAAGTCACTTTTATTAAAATGTAACTTAAATAGGTACACTCATCAAGACCAATTCTAAACACTTATACTTTATAGCTTTTACATAACTAAAGTGCCAAAACAAATTGTGCAAATAAATACAACTATCAAATTTTAACATGTCAAATTGATCAAATTAATTCACTGCAACAGAAAGTATTGTTTTGCTAAAACTACAATACCACAATGGGTTTAACGATGGAAAGACATAGTAGCCTCAGGTCTCATTACTACATGTTATTCTCCTAGTTTTGACGAATGCAGACCATGCATAAAGCATGCTGTGCAAAACAACATTAGTAATCTCAAAAATGTGTTCCCTACTTGAAGATAATGAGATATCAGAATGAAAAATTCTATGATCAAACCATCCCGGAGAGCCTACATAAATGAGGAGCCATTTCATACTAATAAAAATAGTAATAATTGCTAACATTTACTGAACCTGACTACATGCTCCAAGCATTTCACATGTAATAAATACCTCTAACCCTCCCAATATCACTATGAAATCAATACCACAAATTTATCAACATATTACCATAAAAGGAAACTGAGAAACAGAGAGGTTGACTAACTTGCCCAAAGTCTCACAGCTAGTACGTAGAAAAATGAATTTGAAGTCAGGCAGTCTGGCTCCACTTAACAATTATACCAAATCACCTGTGTCATTGCTTTGGACATAAGGTAGTTATTACAGGGTTATGGAGATCTAATCCAATGATTGTTGAAACCAGCAAGGGCAACTTTTTCATTGTGTTTTTACTGTAATGCCTTCTGCTAATAAATTGCTGAGACTTGGTCCCTGTGCAGGTAGAACTGGCGTGAGAGCTGCATTCCTCGCCAGTACAGCTGCAGTCACCAGAAGCTGTTCTCTTGAGTTCGGCAAGCCTGTGCCCTGTGCAGGCTCACCTCTCTCTTCACATGCTTCTGTTTCAATTCCCCTCCTTTTATCCATGTTGTAAACTGAGCCACCAGGCCTGCCTCTGGCTCACATAGGAAGATAGAAAGGCAAACACAGTCCCCAGCATTGGTTTTGGGGTGGCCGTCAAGATGAACCAGAACACATTTTTATTATACATTACTTAAGATTATCACTGAAACGAAACCACTAATTTTAGAGAAGACACAGATCTCTCAAAATACATCTATCCTCAGAATTGCAAGGGTCTGAGAGACCTGTAATGTGATATGAGCTCACACGGAGGGACACTATAAGAAAACAGCCAAAAGCAACCCACCCTTTGTGTCTGACAAGGACATGATTGAAGACATCATCCCAAATACTGTAACGTATTTGAAAAAAGTTCCCTTCTGCTCTTAGAATCAAGAATTGTTGTACTTCTCTTGAGAAGTTTTTATTTTGTATTTTTACGCTCTGGACATGTGATGTTTTGTGTTTCATGCTTTTCCTGCACAGCTCTTATCACAATTTGTAATTAGGAGTATATATTCACTGGAGAGATTTCTTCATGAATGTCTGTTTCTCGCATTTCTCTGTAAATACTGTCAGGGCAGAGACCATGTCTGTGTCTCACAGGACATGGCGCATAGTAGGTCCTCACTGAATGCTTGCTGAGTGGACAAGTGAGTGAATGAGTCAACAAATAAAACACATGAGCCATGGGCTGCTCAATTCCCTTTTTGCAAGAGCTATGAGAAAGTTCAGAGCTGGAATTTTTTCCCTCTCATGAAAGGTATAGAGGGTCTTATGCTTGTATTTTTGTATTTGTCTCATTTTTAATACCATTTGATGTCTCTATGCTTAGTTTCCTTTTTTCTTTCCTATCTATTACTTAGTCTGCTTTTCTATATTTTATGAATTTCTGTAAACTGTCCTAAATCCCTTGTGGAACAAAGTAGGTAACAGATATATTTATCAAAGTCTTTTTTTATATATATTTAAAATCTTAACATTAAACTCTCTGCCAACAAACATAGTTGATCACCTGTAAACTCTTAAGAATAGCTGAGATTTATTAATTCCAGCACTATGCTACCATTTAAGCCAATTCAGCCCCAGCCTAGAAACTACATGCAGTGTGTCAATTCAGGCCATGTAGTGTATTGTGAATGTGACAAGCACATTTCTAACAGGGCTAAGCAAATCGATGGACAAAAAAGAACATAGGGCTGTTGACATCATGCTAGCACTGAAAAGTATGCTTTTACTGTGCCCTATTGCAGGTGGGGGTTTGGGCCAGATCCTGGTCCACAGGCATTGAGAAAGTCTGGTCACACTGCAGAATGAAGGTACAACATTCTAAAGTGAAAATATTAAATGGTCTGAAAATCTCTAACACATACTATTCATATGCTAGTGGGCAGAGTGACTTGTAAGTCTGAAACTTCAGTGACCTCTCAGGTCTTACTCATTTAAAGCACTTTCACTTCAAATGTTGACCAACTATTTGTCCCTTAAAATGAAACGTCCTTTTCACATCCCATTCATGAGGACATCCCTCACTGCCCAAGTTAAAAATCTCGTGTATCCCAGCTGGACCCACACCCTAGAAGTAAAAGGACTGAAGTCCACCCTCTCCAATCATTTGCTCCCCTCCTTTGGGGTTACTCATAAAACACGAAGTGTCCATTTAGGAAACGGAGATTTGATTTCTGATATAAAGCTCATTTGCGTCCGTTGAATTTTAAACGACAAACTGCAAGAGGGAAGAGTGGGCGTAAAGAAACAGATGGGTAATAATCATCTGTCACAGATAAATGACAATTTTTAAAAGAATTTGATATAGGGTGTAGGTTGGGGCTTTTTTCTTTCTCCCCCCCCCCCGCTTTTACTGGGAGTGGGGGCGGGGGGGCAGGGGTGGAGATGAGAGAAGAAAAGGAAGGGGGAGAAAAGGCGAGACAATAGGCTAGACCCGAGCGCCTGATCTGCATCCTAAAGCAGCCTGCCCCTCCCACCCTTCCCCCAACACCAGGTAAGGCTGTAGTCGCGATTTCAAAACAAGCTGATGCGGGCCCCCGCTCCCGGGACCGAGGGCGGCCTCCTCTCGTAGTGCAGGAGGGAGGGGAGGCCGGGGGAAAGAGGGGAGGGAAGCGGGAAGATGGAAGCTAAGAGATGAACAGACTGGTAAGACCTCCTCGGGGACAGTGGCCTTTTTTCCCTCCAAAGTGGTGGAGTCCCATAAAAATCCAAACCCACCGGGACCCGCACATTTGCCAGCTCTCTGGCTCCAAAAGCAGGCGGCTGGCGACGCCGCACCTGCTCGCGCCGCAGCTGCGGCGGAGCTCGTCGCTGGGGCGATGGCGAGGCCCGGGGAGCGCGCCCAGCCACGCAGAGCGCGCCTCGCACGACTCCCTGGGAGGGCGGCGGCCCTGCGAGGCGCGGCTTGCCACCCTCCCGCCGGGCGGAGAAGAAAGCCCCACCTGTCAGACGTTGCGCTTAGAGCTGGCGACAGTCCCCGGGCAGAGTCCAGCGCTCTGCACGCAGCCCGGCTTTCCAAAGAACCTCCAATGTTACATCATCAACAGAAACCTTTAGGCAAAAACACAGCCGCGGGCGAGGGCTGCATCGCAGGCGCACTCACTAACTGAAGCTCACCCACCTGGACCAGCCCGCTCCCGCACGGTGGAAGGATGCTGTAAGGTCTCAAATGCCATTAAAATAAACAAAACGAAGGCAAGCCCACGGTGTCCATTCCGGAGACGGGCTTACCTTCTGCACGGCTTCTCATCCATCTCTGGTCTTCCACTGTGGGCTGTTGTTGTTTTTCTTTTGTTTCGTCGTTTTTTCCTCCTTTTTCTTTTTTGGATCTGATTAAACAAATGCACTCAGCTAATCTGCAGAGCAACGATTTCTCCCCATCCTGCAGCCCCGCACTTGACAGAGCTGCCCGGAATTCCACCAGCAATGCAGCTTCTCCGCGTCACTGGTGGTTACAGACAACAGAGGCTGTCAGTCCTTGACAAAAGGCATTCGTTCCCGCTCGTCTCTTACAGCGCTGCAGTCAGAATTAAATCCATTTCCCGCACGAGGCTGGGAGGAAATGAGAGTTCTCCTGGCGGTGCGCGCTGACAAAAGGACGCTTGATGGTGCCCACAGCGCCCCCTCCAGCGGGCCGCTGCCCGGCCGCCGAGGGCCGCGGTGCTGCAGTGCCCCCGCCCGCAGTGCCTGCCGCCCCGCGCTGCCGCAGTCCCGCCGCCGCTGGCCTCTGCCCACGTCCACAGCGGCACCACGAACTGCCACCAACAGCTAAGAGCCAATATGAGGATTTTGTTACTAGGAAGAAAATCTGAAACGTGAGCTCCCTTAGACGATATACCTTCCCTGGGGTTTAAAAAAAAAAGACAAAACTCTTACACTTGAAATATTTTTTGTGTAGGAGGGACATCTTGCCTTTAGAAAGTAACACTATTAACGATTTTAATAGCAATTGCCTGGCCATTTGAATTCCAAGCCAAAATTACCCCTAATTCTGACTCCGTTTTCAAAGAGGACAAAATTTTTATTGTTGCCCTACCCTCAGGGACTATGGGCCCAGCTCCCTTCAATTCTCACTAGCCTTCTCTCACCCCTCTCCCCCCCTAGTCAGTCACCCCACAGAAACAGGTGTTTAGTGAATAGGAACACTGGATGGAGAACCAGAGTACTTGGTCACAGTCTCAGACTTGCCATTAACTAGCTGTGTGACCTTGATGAAGTCGCTTAACCTCTCTGGGCCTTTTAGTCTTCCTCTGTAAAATGACATTCTAATACTCTCTGATGGTGTTTCTCACGGAGTAGGGCCATCAGAGTGGCTGCATGAAACTTTAGACCCCCATAATCTCCACCAACTCCCTCAATCAACATTAACGCTCAATCAACTCTAAGCGTTTCTAAAAATGTGATTGCTGGGCAAATACAGCTTCCAGGAAAGCACCCAACCAGATCACGGCCCTTCTGCTCCTCGGTTCTGGGGCACCACAGCTTTTAGACACCCTCATAAAAATCACCAGACCCCCACCACAGTGCAGCTGCAAAATCAGTCCCTGAAAGTGGGCCCAGGAACCGGTATTATTAGCAAGCATCCCTAGGGACTCCTTCGCATACCAACATTTAAGAAATGCCACTCTATGTGAGCTACTACTTATGTAGAAAAAGAGGAAATGTCCATCACAACAACTCTAGAACAACTAGCAGCCTTCCCATTTCAGATGCCAGAGTAAATTTTGTCTTTTTGCTCTAGCTCCTCCAGCTCCTCCAGCCCCTCCAGCCCCTAGTCTCTACACCCTCCTTCCCCACTCAGAGATTCTCATTCTTTCCCATTTCGTCTTCAGGATCGCTAAGTCCAGAAGCCCTCTCCCCATTCTTCTGTCAAAACCTACTAGAATTACAAGCAGATCAGCCAACAGGACCCAAGGTTTGTTTGGCCTGAACGAGGAAGTGATGTATTTATTGACACTTCAGGCAGATGTGTGCGTTATCGACATGAACTGATAATACTTGGGAAGTCTGGAACACCTTCCCCAGAGCCCTGAAATCACAGGTATGCTGGGTACTTCTCTGAAATAGAACCCAAAAAAAGGGAACAGAGAATTTCTGTTTAGTCCAGAAATTGCAGGTTTCATAAATCCCCTTGATCATCTCTAGCACTCAAAAATTTTTCTTCCTAGTGTACTATTTAGCTTTCTCAAACTAATAATAGCAGTCTCTTTTTGGCTCTTGCCACTGTTCTGAGGGCTTAACATGCATTTTTATTCATTTAATCCTCATGAGAACTCTATGAAAGTGGTACTATTATTACCCCATTTTACAGATGAAGAGACTGGGGCACAGAGAGGTTAAGTAACTTACCCAAGCTTGCACAGTTAGTGAGTGGCTGAGCCAGGATTCAAACTCAACCACTATAGCTCCAGAGCTTGTGAGCCCTAACCCTGCACATGGCCTTCAGAAGAGACAAAAACATTGACTTTAAAAAGCAGAACTAGGG